CAAATGGTTAGGTCATTATCCTTTTGCAGTTCTTTTTCATACGTGGGTGGATCGAATACCGGGTTTCTTGACATTAAGTCAGATAATGTATTTAAAGAATTTGATTTATTTAATGTTAATAGTAATATTAATTTTGTACCTCCAGAAATTATAAAAGTTAAAGTTAATGGTATAGATATTGAAATGGAATTAGACTCAGGGGCAACCAGTTCTTTTTTCACTGAAGATATTTTTAGTAAAAAATTAGGACATCTTTCTTTAGAGTCATCCAATGTTAATTTAACCTTTTTTGACGGTTCAACATCTGAACCAACAGGCAAATTTAAGGCATTAGTTGAGTACAAGGACAAGGTTGTTGAAACAGAGTTTATAGTTATAAAAAGTGTTAGAAATGTTATGCCATTGTTTGGTAGAGATTTAATGAAAGCATTCAATATCACATGGTCACAGACAAATTTTGTTAAAGATGATTATGAGTTATCAAGTTTATTAAATGAATACAATGAGTTGTTTTATGGTGGCCTTGGTGAATATAAGGGTTATAGTGTTAGTTTGGAACTGAGTGAAGCAATTAAACCAATATTTTGTAAGCATCGCACCATTCCGTTTGCACATAAAATGGCAGTAGAGAAAGAATTAATAAAATTAGAGGAAGCAGGTGTTATTAAGAAAAATGATGATTGCCAGTGGGGCACACCTTTAGTCCCAGTTTTAAAACCAGATGGTTCCATTAGGCTGTGCGCTGATTACAAAACCACAATAAATAAATACATTAAAGATATTCACTACCCTTTTCCTAGGATTGAGGAACTATTTGCCATAATACAAGGTGGTGAGACATTTTCAAAGTTAGATTTCAGTAATGCTTACAATCAATTGAAATTAGATGACAACACTAGTAAACTTTTAGCATGGAGCACACACAWGGGGACTTATGAAGTGTTACGTATGCCGTATGGCATAAAGCCAGCAACAGCAATATTCCAAAGAGAAGTTGAAAAAGTATTTAAAGATTGTCCCTATACTGCAAACCTATTAGATGATATAATTGTTACAGGAAAAAATCTCAGTGAACATTATCATAACTTAAAAAATGTGCTAGAACGTTGCAAAAAATCAGGGTTTAAATTAAACCGCAGTAAATGTTCTTTTTTCCAAAAACAAATTAAATATTTAGGGCACATAATTAATAAAGATGGGTTACAAACTGACCCAGATAAAGTAGAATGTATTCAACATACTAAAATTCCAACTAATGTTACAGAATTAAAATCGTTTTTAGGTATGATTAATTATTATGGTAATTTTATACAAAATTTATCAACTATAGCAGGTCCATTGCATAATCTTTTAAAAAAAGATGTTGTTTTTAAATGGAACAATTCATGCATGGAAGCATTTAATGAAATTAAAAGCATTCTAAGTTCAAACCAAGTCTTAACTCATTTTAACCCAGACCTTCCAATTGTTTTGTCTACTGATGCATCAAATATCGGCATAGGTGCAGTATTAGCTCACAGATTTGCAAATAATGTTGAAAAACCTATTTCATATGCGTCACGCTCTCTTACAACAACAGAGAAAAATTATTCATTTATACACAGAGAAGCACTTGCTATAGTATGGGCTGTTACTAAATTTCACCAATATCTGTTAGGGCGACAATTTATAATTAAATCAGACCACAAACCTTTATTAGCACTTTTCGGGCAAAATAAAACAATTCCAAAGATGGCAGCTGGTCGCATCCAAAGATGGGCATTTTTTTTGTCAGGTTTCAATTATACAATTGAATTTATTAAAGGGGTAGATAATCTTGTTGCAGACACGAAGACTCCCGGGTTTGATGCCTAGCGGCTACAACCGCGGACCTCACATTAGCGCTGTGCGCTAGTCGAGAGCCGCGGAGGTTCACGGTCGACGTACGGCGGTGTTACCCACCGGCCGCCGGCCGCGCGTCGTCTACGGACCACGAGCACCGGGCGCACGCCCGTTCCCACCGAAGTCGGGAGAGAGTGCGCCCGTACCGTTGGCTAAGGCGTACACGTGMCCTTCGCCACCCTGGTCGGGTCGCGAGCTATCCTCATCGCTTCCCGTWTCTGGTCACGGGCAACCTCCGGTGCATATAGCCCCACCAGTAGGCTGGGTG